GGTTAACTTCACTGTGCCCATTGTCTAGATATGGGGAAGGCCTTCAGTTTTACCCCTTGGCCACTGCTTCTTTTAGACATTTGGCATCCTTAGGGCCGGTTCACACAAAGAATTGCACAGTAATGTGCTGTGTTCCTGTGCTATTCACATGCAGTTCTGTATGGAGCGATTTCAGTCCATTCATTTTTAAATGGGGTAAAGTTGCAACTCGCTAAAAGTAGTGGATGCATTATGTTTGAAACTCGCTGCAATAATGTTGCATGCTACAAGTGTGCGCAAATGCACTGTTTGTGACCTGCGCTTAATGTCATTAGCTTAATATTGACACCAGCTACAGATCGTGCCTGCAGTGCGTTTTGAACGTGCATGGAATATGGTTTTCCTGCACTGTGTTCTGGTGTGAACCGGTCCTAAAAGAGGTTCTCTGGCCTCCATATACACTATTCGAAGTGGACTTGACAGGTTGTGCAGCCCTATAAGGGTCTAGATTCTGTGAACAGTGTACATTTCTTCTGTTTGGCAGTATAACCCTTGGCTATTACCATAAAGCTGTTTCCCTCAAACTTGGAGGGCAGGATTTATTGGCACGTATATAAATAATAAAATTAAAAAAACCAAAAACATCCCACTACACTGCATCTGTGCCAAATCTGGATGGACAGCATTATGTTTCAGACTTTCGGCAGTGTGCATGAATATTCAAATTTCAAAAAAAAATATCCTGCAATGAACCTGACTACAAGAGTAGTTGTGGGTTTTTTTTTTTTTTTTTTTTATAATCCCCCCCCTTCCCCTGCTCTGTATATAGTGTCCTCTTTCAGTTTTGTAAGGTCAAGGATGTGATCTTTAATGTAACTAAAAGGTCAACAGCTGTTCCAAATGTCAGCAAAAGAGAATCAGTAGTGACTTGAGTTTGACTATATGCTTTGGGTTTTATTTATCCACCTCCTAAATATTAGTTGAACCCTTTTTTAACCCTTTTAATAATTGCTTCAATTATGACATTACAATTGACTGTCATTGCTGAAGTCCCTTTTATGATTGGGGCCCTACTGTGTGGTATCTTTTTAAATGGAGTTCCATCCAAAAGGGGAAGTTCCGCTTTTAAGGATTGGCCCCCTGCTCTCCCCATTTAAGGATTGGCACCTTTTGGGGGGAGCGGGGGGGGGGGGGGGAGCAGGAGGTACCTGAAATTGACCGGTACCTGCTCCCACTTCTGCTGCAAATGCCTAGGCGATCAGAAGCGGACATTGTCCTCATACCCTCCTTCCCTGTAGTCTTCTGGGACACATGACAGGTCCCAGAAGACAACGGGACCATTCGGAAGCGCTACTCGCGCATGTTCAATGGGCACACTGCTGTGAAGCGGCAAGCTATCACAGCCGGGTGCCCACAATGAAGATTCCAGCGCCTGGAACAGAGTATGACCAGTGAAACTGGCTGCATGGAGAAAATCGTGGGATCATGGGAAGGTGAGTGGCTGTTTTTTTTGAAAGTCAGCAGCTAGTTTGTGTAGTTGCTGACTTTATTTATTTTTTTACAGTGAGTGGAACTCCACTTTAATCAGATTACTCCTTCAGGTAGAGTTCAGTTAGTAAAATAAAGTAGAGCTACACAAATATCACTGATTTGGGAGCAAGCAAAATACAGTCAGTTACTATGACTAGTTCCCTATGTTTGATTTATTTACATACATTCCCAGCCAATTGGGAAGAGTGTATGATAAATTATATATTTATATCACACATAGTGTATCCAGAAAGCATTCACAGCGCTTAACTTTTGCCACACTTTGTTACAGCCTTATTCCAAAATGGATTAAATTAATTTTTTCCTCAACATTCTACAAACAATGCCCCATAATGGCAATGTGAAAAGTTAATTTTTTTTTAATGTTTGTAATTTATTAAAAATGAAGAAAAAACCACATGTACATAAGTATTCACAGCCTTTGCTCAATACTTTTGTTGAAGCGTCTTTAGCACCAATTACAGCCTCGAGTCATTTTGAGTATGATGCTACAAGCTTGGCACACCTATTTTGGGCAATTTTTCTCCCATTCTTCTTTGCAGTATTTCTCAAGCTCCTTCAGGTTGGATGGGGAGAGTCTGTCCACAGCCATTTTCAGATCTCTCCAGAGATATTCAATCGGGTTCAAGTCTGGACTCTGGCTGGGCCACTACAGGACATTCAGAGTTGGCCTGTAGACACTCCTTTGTTATGTGGGCTGTTTGATTAGGGTCGTTGTCCTGTTGAAAGATGAACAGTCTCCCCAGTCTAAGGTCCAGAGCGCTCTTCAAGAGTATCTGCACATTGCTTCATTCATCTATCCTTCGATCCTCACCAGTCTTTCATTTCCTGCTGCTGAAAAACATCCCCACACCATGATGCTGCCACTACCATGCTTCACTGTAGGGAAGGTATTAGCCAGGTGGTGGTGAGCGGTGCCTGGTTACCTCCAGACATGACGCTTGGCATTCTGGCCAAAGAGTTCAATCTTTATTTCGTCAGAGCAGAGAGTTTTGTTTCTCATTGTCTGAGAGTCCCTCAGGTTCCTTTTGGCAAGCTCCAGGTGGGCTGCCATTTGCCTTTTACTGAGGAGTGGCTTCCATCCGGCCACTCTGTCATACAGGCCTGATTGGTAGAGTGCTGAGGAGATGCTTGTTCTTCTGGAAGCTTCTCTCTCCACAGAGAAGTGCTGGAGCTCTTTAAACTATTGGGTGCTTTTTACCTTCCTGGTTAAGGCCCTTCTGCCTCGATTTCTCATTTTGGCCAAGTGGCCTGCTCTAGATCCTGGTGGTTCCAAACTTCTTCCATTTACAGTTGATGGAGGCCACCGTGCTCATTGAGACCTTCAAAGCTGTAGAAATTTTTCTGTACCCTTCCTCAGATCTGTGCCTTGATACAATCCTATCTCGGAAGTCTACAGACAATTCCTTGGACTTCATGGCTTGGTTTGTGCTCTGTTAACTGTGGGACCTTTTATATAGACAGGTTTATGCCTTTCCTAATCATGTCCAATCAACTAAATTTCCCACAGATGGACTCCATCAAGTTGTGGGAACAGGATGCACCAGAGCTCAATTTTGAGTGTCATGACAAAGGCTGTGAATACCTATGTACATGTGGTTTTTCATTTTTTACTTTTAATAAATTGCAGAGATTTCAAAACTTCTTTCACGTTGTCATTATGGAGTATTTGTAGAATGTAGAGGGGGGAAAAAATGAATTTTAATTTATTTTGGAATAAGGCTGTAACATAATAAAATGTGGCAAAAGTTAAGAACTGAATATTTTCTGGATGTGCTGTACATGCCTTATTTATCCTATGATACATACATTGCAGATCCATACACTCATCCACATCTGTTCTGTCTGGGTGAGTGTAGTTCCATTTTACCCTCTAAATGACTTGCACATTTTTACAACATTTTGACTCTCTTAAAGTGTTATCGTGAATGCAGGGTCCTGGGTTTATATCTGATCTCCCACGGTACACAGAACATGGAAATACAATTATTTTAGTAAATATAAACTGCTAAATACCTTTTTCTCATCAGCAGTTAGAGCAGTCTTGTGACTTTTATCAGTGTCCAGAGCACTGGTTAAAGCTTATAGGAGTTTTCACTCTCTATTAGGCTGTAGGACCCCTGACCCTCTGTCAGTGCCGATCACATGCACTCTCCCAAGAAAAAAAAAAAAAAAACTCTAGCAATACACACCAAACTCTGCATGTGCAGAGTGACACCAAGCCTCTGTTCTATTAGGAGTTATACAGGGGATAGTAGAAGAGGATCAGAGAAGTCGGGATCAAACAGCCTTTTTTTTTACACAATGCAGAGGATTAACCCCTTAGGTTCCACAGTGAGTACAACAAGCATGCTTTACTGCACATACAGACTGATTATACTGTTGACTGTTGTGGGTTTAGTAACACTAAGAAAACACACTTTTCAAAAAAAAAAAAAAAAAAAAAACTCTGAAGATTCAGATGCCTAAAACAATTTTGAAACTGTTTTTTATAATCCCTTTTCAATCTTTTGTTGGCCAATTAACAGCAAAGTAATGCTAGAATTGGTTGCATTGTGTCCAGCTCGATACTGAGCACATCAATGTGCTGTGTTTGGTCACAGATCGTACTGCTGCATGTCCAAGGGGGCGCATGCAGCGCACATGAACAAGGTGATCCGGGAACAATAGAGCCACTAGCCAGCAGTGATGTTACTACTGCTGGTTGGCAAGTGGCTAATGAACCATGGCCTAAATGGTTTGGAAATGTTTGTAATTCATCTAGTTGGTAGGCAATAACATTTCCGATGTAAATCAAGATTCTGGTCGTTGCCATTTGTAAACTCCTTGACTGTCACTATATCTCACTTTTGTGCAATGGAAAATGTTTCTCAACTTTTATTGGAAATGCTGAGTAATGGAGAGGATGGACCTCCTGTTCTGAGCTCTTTACAGAGGCCACTTGCAGAAACCAAGAATATTGGGGTTAATCATCTGTCTTTGATGGACTAAAGTGAAATATTTTAAAGTCTTGTGATGTCTGTTTCTTGTTTGGTCTGATTGTAATCTAATCTGTTAATTATGCCTTGTCCTATTTAGCTGTGTGTAGCCTAATTAGCTCACAGATGAAGGGAACAATGTTCATTAACCATCTTGCTTCCGTTCAGTCTATCTGTTTAAATACTCGTGTAATATTAGAATTGTGTACTCTTGAGTAATATACATGTGTGTACACACACTTTCTCACATATAGCTATAACTGGTGAGCCTCATGTCCTGCAAACGCTAAAACGTAACAAATTGCAGTCCCTGGGGTGCCAGCTAGATATGAGGGGCACTAGTAGCAAAACTGCTAATGTTTATTGTAAGGTGCTGTGAGAGGAGTTGTAGTAGCAAGGTTTCAAAGTATACATCATTGTTGATTCTGTTCACACCTGCCTTTTTTTTTTTTTTTTTTTTTTTCTTTTTAACCTTTTACCCATGCCCCACAGCTGGGTTCATAAAATCTCCACTCTCAGAGGTCAGACTGACAGGTGAATCAGTGGAGCTACACTGTGAGGCCATTGGCCACCCTATACCTGAGATTCAGTGGTGGTTTGAGGCAGACTATAACGACAGTTTCTCTCAGCTGTGGGATGGAGCCCGTGAAGACAGAGTACAGATGAACACAACCTATGTCCTCCATGCTACAAGCACACTCTATCTTTTTAACCTGAGCCCAGAAGACTTGGGAACCTATGAGTGTCGTGCCAGCAATGATCCAGATCGTAACCATTTGACCAAGATTCCTCGCATCAAGTGGATTCGTTCTCAAGCCAATGTTGTTGTCATAGACCGTGAGTGAGCAACTAAATGGTGAAGATTTCCTGTGATATCCTGAAGCCCTGCTCCCTCGTTATCCAGAGTGCTTCCTCCCAGCAGTGCTAGATTTAGAACTTCCCTTGCAAGTGCTTGGCTAAATATTAACTGTTCCCTTGGTCCAGGATCCCCTTCCTTTTTAATGTTTTATTTCCTCTTTTTGTGTAGGGATTTAGTGTCCACCTCTTGTATTAGAATAGGTTTGCTGTACCCCAGCAGTGCAGCCTACTTCTTCCTTTTTTTTTTTTTTTTTTTTGTTTCTTTCCCCCCCCCCCCCCCCCCCCCCTCCTCCTAATTGATTTTCCGGGGTTCAAGAGAAGATGTTTCTAACTAAAAATTAGCTTTTGGCAGAATATTTTCAGCTCAAGATGCAATACTGAAGACTGAGATCCTGTTCTGCAACAGAAGTTTCAGCATGGAAATGTGCACTTGGGAGTCCTTGTTTCTTTAGTCTGCGTATTGTCTGCTGATTAGTTTCCTTATGTTGACCATCCTACCCTACTGCTGTCTCTGTCCAATGGATTGTGTTGTAATTTCCATCATAACCTTGAATCTTCCGTGTTGGAGCATCTCCTGTTCCTGTCCCATCTAGTTCTAAACTCTTGTTTGTTTGCCCCTGCTACCCTACTTAGGGTTGTGACCCTACTTAGTCTTCACATCATGCAACCGCTTCTTGGTGGTGCTTCTAGTCAGTCTTTGTGCTTTCCAAGCAGGGTATTTTGATGCTGAGACTTTGGAATTGGGATGGGTTTACTAATTTGTGGTTGTACTACAATAGTTTAAAATACACTTTTTTTTTTTTTTTTTTTTTTTTTTTTTCTTTTTCTCTCCCCTTCAGGTGTGTGTGTGTGTGTGTGTGTGTGTGTGTGTGTGTGTGTGTGTGTGTGTGTAAAATAAAGCAACAGCTTTATGGAATGGAAATAGTTTTTTTGAGTGGACAATAAAGCTGTGTACATCTATTTAAAATGTCACCTCTAAGAAAAATGTTGATGCAGAAAGTGCTTAGGAAAGAATAGCAATTGTATACCTGACTTTTTCAAACTTGGTCTGAAGATTTCTATAGTTTAACCGTCCCAGAGACATTTTGGCTTTTTCTCATCCAGACTAATAGTCCATCTCCAGGGCAACTTTGATCAGGAAGGTTGGAAATGCTAAACTGCATGGGCAGCTTTGGTGTGTCAGTAAAGCTGGCTATAAGCTAGCAGATTTGTATGACTATTTTCCCTACATTTGACTGCTGGATGAATGTTGGTTTTTTTTTTTTCAAAATTTAGTTGCCTTTTTTATCAGACTTTTTTTTTTTTTTTTTTTTTTTTTTTTTTTTTTTTTTTTTGTGGTGGGTGGGGGTGGCATTTATCAAATGAAAACCACACTATTGTTTAGACATTTTGTTCAAGAAATTTTTCAATCCTGCTTCAAATTTTCTGATTGTGGTCAAGCTATCTATTTGACCCCCATTGATTAGAAATGGAACTGATGTACCTAAAATGAGAGCTTTTTGAATGAAATTTCACTAGTCTGCTTACGTAGCGATGTGTGAGTGGTAGAAGCTCACTGCTTAAATGGGATTAAGGATTAGATTTGCTCTTTGTCTAAGCCAGTAGTCATTTCTGGCTGTGTTTATGCAATTGAAGATTGTTTATGTGCAGAAATTTAATTTCATGTTTTTAATGTAAACCTTACTGTAAAAATTCTAGTTCACTGGCAGTTGATTGTGTGACTACTACCTGGTAAATCCCTCATCTGAACAAGTATGTAGTGGGGTGAATTACATATTCAAGCCCTGCCTATTTGTGCCACCTCAGTACCTATGGTGAAAAATGCTCATTTTTTTTTTTTTTTTTTTTTTTTTTTTTTTTTTATCCTGTTTTCCACTGGTTCTAATTCTATTGTTTTTGTTTATAGATCCACTTATTGTAACAAGCCATTCAAATGCAACTGGTGGAGATTTGCTCACCTGCAATTTAACAGACTTTGCTCTTGTCATCTCTGGTCACCAGTGGCTTAAGGGAGCCAAAGTGATACATGAAGATAAAGATTCCTCCCAAATTACAACCCACAAGTAAGTATCATATTACACCAGCTACAGTGCCTTGAAAAAGTATTCATACCCCTTGACATGTTCCATCCATATTTTGTCATGTTAGAACCAAAATCGGAAATGTATTTAATGTGATAGACCAATACAGTGGCACATGATTGTGAAGTGGAAGGAATATGGTAAATGGTTTTTAAATTGGTTTACAAATATCTAAAGTGTGGCGTGCATTTGTATTTAGCCCACTTTACTCTTGATAACCCTAACTAAAATGGAACAATTGCCTTCAGAAGTCACTTAATTGGTAATTGGAGTCCACTTGTGTGCAATTTTAATCAGTATAAATACAGCTGTTCTATGAAGCCCTCAGAGGTTTGTTAGAGAACATCGTGGACAAACCGCATCATGAAGGCCAATGAACACACTAGACAGGTTAGGGATAAAGTTGTGGAGAAGCTTAAAGCAAGGTTAGGGTACCAACAAATATCCCAAGCTTAGAACATCTCACAGAGCACTGTTCAAACCATCATCCGAAAATGGAAAGGGTATGGCACAACTGCATGGCCATCCACCTAAACTGATAGGCTGGGCAAGGAGAGCAGCAATCGGAAGCGGCCAAGAGGCCCATGGTAACTCTGGAGGAGCTGCAGAATTCCACGGCTCAGGTGGGAGAATCTGTCTACAGGATAACCATTAGTCGTGCACTCCACAAATCTGGCTTTTATGGAGGAGTGGCAAGAAGAAAGCCATTGTTGAGAGAGCCATAAGAAGTCCCGTTTGCGAGAAGCCATGTGGGGGACACAGCAAACGTGGAAGAAGGGGCACTGGCCAGATGAGGCCAAAATTGAACTTTTTTTTTTTGGCCTAAAAGCAAAACTGTGTCCAGATCTAAACCAATTGAGAATCTGTGGCAAGACTTGACAATTGCTGTTCAAACACTCTATCCAATCTGAGTTTGAGCTATTTTGCAAAGAAGAATGGGCAAAAACTTTAAAGCTGGTAGACACATCCCCAAAAAGACCTGCAGCTGTCATTGCAGTGAAAGGTGGTTCTACAAAGTATTGACTCGGGAGCTGAATACAAATGCATGTCACACTTCTCAAATATTTTTGTAAAAAAAAAATTTGAAAACCATTCACAATTCTTTGCCAGTTTGTGTTGGTCTATCACATAAAATCGCAATAAAATTAATTTTACGTTTTGGTTGTAACATGACAAAATGTGGAAAAATTTCAAGAGGTATGAAATAATTTTTCAAGGCGCTGTACATGTGACTTGGCCCTTTGAGTAAGCTGTATATTGAAAAGAATGGAGAGCAGAGTAATCGTGCACTGGTTATTGCCAGTTAGGATGCATATGTAAAAGTATATCAATAACTTTACACGTATTCATAAACTAATTGCTGACATGATATACAGCAACTGAGGTTTAAACTAAAACCTAACTTAAGGACTTGATGGTTTGGTTATGTTACCACAAGTGTAAGTCATGCATAGTAGAGTCCGTTTTGAGAAAAACTGTCCTTTTTTCTTTATTAAGGAAATGCCTATTTGGTGGATTTTGATGCTGGTTTGTGAGCCTTTAGACTGTTGTGTTGCCTAGATTGGCATGGGAATGTTCTGTGTCGGGGTTGGGAAAGTTTAGGTTTTGTCTGTGTAGTCAGCTTCTGCACACATTAACATCAATGTCATGCTGAGGTGGTCGCACTGCACCCTGTTGTATCCTGTGCATGCTATGAGACCATTCAGCATTCTAATGGATTAGCAGCTTTTGAGTGTTCTGTTACCTGACTAGTTCTGTAAACCAAAAAGGACACCCTTTATTTTGGCTTCTGTTGCTTTTTGCCAATATTATATTGAATACTGGGCTTAAACAGTATTTGCTTCTTTTCCTAGTATTACTGGAGTGAATGCAGAAACCTCTGGACAATACACCTGCAAGTTCCTGACCTCTCCTGAAGTGTATGCAGTGATTAACATAACAGGTAATTTACTCCCATTTTTTACAGAAAGCTCTAGTATTTTAATGTATGGAGCACAACTTTAAATGTGGAAATATCTTCCCATTTTAGGTTGTAGATTTGCCCAAGTATACTGACTAACAAAACATCAAACCAATTATCAGGTGCTTATGATTAGAAGTCCTTAGTCTGTGTGAAAAGACAATTTTTTTTTAAAAAAAAAATATTTTTGACATTTTGCTACTAAAAATGTTCAGTAAAAAAAAAAAAAATTTTAATCAAATTTCGGCATAAATTTAGGCCAAAATGTATTCTGCTACATGTCTTTGCTAAAAAAAATAATCTTAATACGTGCAAATTGGTTTATGTAAAAGTTATAGCGTTTACAAATGGTGAGAGATACTGGGATATTTTTTTTTTTTTTTTTTTTTTTTTTAATTTTACTAGTAATGACCACAATCAGCAGCTTCTAGCAGGACTACGGCGGGCTTTCTGACACTGGGGGGAACTGACTTGGTGTCACGGACATCCCCAGTGATACAAATACAGTGATCAGTGCTAATAAAAATGCACTGACATTACTAATGGCACTGGGCAGGAAAGGGTTAACATGTGGTGTGATCAAAGGGTTAACTGTGCTGTTTTCATCATGCCCTGTTAGTGCTTCACTGTAAGCACACTGCTTTGCATGGCTGTTTTGTGCACAGCCATGCAAATCAGTGTGCATGAGCTGACAGGGGGAGAACTCCCTGTTGGAAATGCTCGGTAATAACCAGGTGCTGGTGAGTAATCACGTGTGTGTGTGTGTGTGTGTGTGTGTGTTTCCGGATAGGGGTCATGCTAGCTGCCGTGGCTGTCAATCACTGGGTCCCGGCCGGTGATTACTCTCCGGTGCCCGAAGATTGCCGAGCATCTCTGACTGTGAGGAGAACTGTTTTTTGTTTACAGCTCGTGCACACTGCTTTGGATGGCTGTGCACAGCCATCCAAAGCAGTGTTTGCAGTGAAGCACAGCTTATAGTAAAACGGCACACAGTTAACCCTTTGATTGCTCCTCATGTTAACTCCTTCCTGCCAAGTGCCATTAGTACAGTGTCTGTGTTTTTTTTTTTTTTTTTTTTTTTTTTTTGCACTGATCTCTGTATTGGTGTCACTGGGGATGTCAGTGACACCAAGTCAGTTACCACCCAGTGTCAGAATGCCTGCTGCAGTCCCACTATAAGTTGCCCGTCGCCGCCATTACTAGTAAAAATAAAAAATAAAAATCCCAGTATTTATACTGCCATTTCCATTTGTATACACTATAACTTTCATGTAAAACAATTTACACGTATTGGAATTTTTTTTTTTTTTTTTTTAGCAGAATTCATTTTGGCCTGTATTTTTTTTTTTTCAGTTATTTTATTGTGCATTAAAAAAAAACATATACACACACTTCATTTTGGGTGCAGTGTTGCATGACCACTCAATTGTCAGTTTAATGTAAACACAGCGCCATAATCGCAAAATATTGCCTGGTCGGAGAGAGGAAAAAAACCTCTGGAGGACAAGTGGTTAAGCAAGGCTTTTGGGTCCTTAATCCTGTCTAAATTGGCAATACTCCATGCAGGTACTTTGTGATATTTTACTGATTGTTTGTTTTTTTTTGTTGTTTTTTTTTTTTCCTCCACTGCAGAGCTACTTGGATTTCTGCCCCAGGCTACACAAGGCCTCTAAAACTACCCTAAATGACATTAAGCTCTTGACTTCCAGTATTAGGCCTGCCTCTGCCATTTTAGCTTTCAGTTGTCAGGACCTTTTTGCCTTTCTGATACTGAACATTTGAATGTTGAAAGTGGGGATTAATGTCAGTTTGGGCATGTATCTGTCCTGCATGCAGTCAGGTGGCAGCTGAGAAACCTATCCACCTTAATGAATACCATAAATATTACACAAGCCCCAGGTTGGGCACACTTTAGTATTTTGAAACCGTGCTTGGGACGTGGCTGGTCACTTTAGGCAGGCTATAAAGTTCTGATTTTAGTGTGTGTGTTGATCTATACCGTGTGCAATTATACAAAAAAAGTTGCTGTTCTTGCCTGACTCCTACTGGGGCCACAAATCTGACAGCTGCAATGCTTATAATTCAGCAGTAGTAAATTATGTACCTCAGCCATGCTTCTGGTTTACATACTTGGTTTAGATGGCTTTTTGGTATAAGCTGAGTTCAAACAAAGCAACCTAAAACCATTATACTTTCCTCCTCTCTAATAGTCTGAAGTTCAGAGGGGCCCCTCCCTGGTGCCTATCTTTGGGCATTCTCACTGGCTGCCACAAGATGATGCAACTCCTGTGCTTGTGCATGAGTTTATCATCCTGGCACACAGGGATTGTGCTGGCGCTGTAGGCTGAGCTGTGCACATGGAGCTTAGTTTACATTCTACAGAATACTGCAGGCAGGTGTATCCTATATGGTAAGCTCTAATGAGCAGGACCCTCTTTCCTCTTGTACCGAATTGTATTGTAAGTAATGTCTACCTTCATTTTGTAAAGTGCAGCGCAAACTGTTGGTGCTGTATAATAATGTATTGCAGCCATTGCATGTCTCCAGCAATAGCTAACCTTCCTGCTGGCAAGTTTTTTTTTTTTTTTTTTTAAACATTGCTTCAGTTACTTCCTAGTTTTCCATGCCTAGGCAAATGTCATGCATCCCAGTAGTCTTCATGAAAGGAGGGGTTTTCTCAGCTAAGTACACCCTCCTGCCTGCATACCTGAGCTAAGAGCCAATGGATTCCAGGAAGTAAATGCTTCATGAATCATCAGCTCTTAATCAAGATGGCCACAACCAGGGATGTTTGGGGATGTTTCTTTAAAGCGATTTTCTCAGCAAAATAAAGCATGGAGACATGAATGTGGAGAAGTTTGCTCTGAATCATAAATCAAATGATTTTGGTTTGTGCTGCTCAGATACAGTGTAGTTCCGTTTTTAAGTTGGATCCATGGTGTTAATGGCAAAAATGGCTTTACTTGTGGTTTTGAGTTCACTGTGCCATGTATCAAAAATGTAAGGAGGTGAATGGGATCTGAGTGGGTGATCTCTGAACTGCATCTCAATCTTCTGGAATGTTTACGTTCTATAGGCCTTATGAATGCCCAGCTATCCAAATATGCTGAGTGAATCTTTAGAAAGGAAAACCACTTGATTCCCCCATCAACAGTCAGTGTTGATGGGGAAATCCCTCCCACAGTGCTATTGTGTTCTACCAGCAGAGAGAGCCTTCTCAACCTGCAGAACCTAGCCTGCCCATATATGGATCAATTCTTGACCAGTCCCTGTTGAACTGGCCAAGATTCAACCCGTGTGTGTGTGTGTGTGTGTGTGTGTGTGTGTGTGTGTGTGTGTGTGTGTGTGTGTGTGACGTCAAAGTGAAGCAGCCAAGAGGAGTAACTTTTTGGGGGAGTGGTTGTGCAGCTGGGAGGAAGCTTGTAGGAACAAAAAAGTAAAACTGCTGTTTATCATCCCCTAGACAAGCATTTTGTTTGGCAATTCCTAACATTGCCTTTTTGTAGTGGAGGAAATATTCATACCAGTAAAACACCTCTTCATTTCAGTTGCACCTCATGTTGTGGCTTACAAGAAAACAGAACATGGAAATGAAGGAGACACAGGAGTGCTGACCTGCAAAAGTAACTCTTTCCCACATGTAGAGGAGTGGATGTGGTCAATGGTTTCAGCAGATGGAAATAAGGTATGAGTTGGGTGCACAACCAGACTTGATGGAGGGGGGGGGGGGGGGGAGGTGCTGGGGGGAGGTTTACGTGTGTTCTTTTTGAATGTCTGACATTTTACTCTGAAACTGCTCTCTGCAATCTGCATGAAATTCATTTTCAGCTTTTTTGGCAGAAACCTGAAGGTTTTGTGCCAATATTGACTGGTATTTGGAACTGTTCATAATTCCCTCTACCTTGAGTAAGGCCCCAGTTCCAGCTGGAAAAAAAAAAAAACGCTCCAAATCATGATGCTGCCACCACCATGCTTCACTGTGGGTATGGTGTTCTTTTGGTGATGTGCAGTGTTGTGTTGTGTGTGTGTGTTTTTTTTTTTTTTTTTTTTTTTTTTTTTTTTTTTTTTTTTTTTTTTTTTTTGCGCCAAACATATTTTTTTTTGGAATTATGGCCAAAGAGTTGAACCTTGGTTTCATCAGACCATAACACCTTTTCCCACATGCTTTTGGGAGTCTTCAGATGTATTTTGCAAAATTTAGCCAGGCTTGGATGTTTTTCTTAAGAAAAGGCTTCCATCTTGCCACTCTACCCCATAGCCCAGACATATGAAGAATACAGGAGATTGTTGTCACATGTACTTGGCAGATATTCCTGCATCTCCTTTAATGTTTCTGCAGGCCTCTTGTCAGCCTCCCAGACCAGTTTTCTTCTCGTCTTTTCATCACTTTTGGAGTGACGTCCAGTTCTTGGTAATGTCACTATTGCGCCATATTTTCTCCACTTGATGACTGTCTTCACCGTGTTCCATGGTATATCTAATGCCTTGGAAATTCTTTTGTAAACCTCTCCCGACTGACACCTTTTAACAATGAGATCCCTCTGATTCTTTGGAAGCTCTTTGCAGACCACGGCTTTTGCTGTAGGATGCGACTAAGAAAATGTCTGTCAGGAAAGACAAGACTTGGGGTTAATTAGTGGCATTTTAAATGATATGATGGCAGGTGTGTACTGACTCCTATTTAACATGATTTTGAGTGTGATTGCTTAATTCTGAACATGGCTACATCCCCCAGCTATAAGAGGGTGTGCACAGATTTATTTTACCGCCCCAGGCGCCACACACGCACTTTCAGTCTGTTTTTCAATTGAGCTGTACAGTTTATAGATCAGATTGAAGGTGAGAAGTTCTGAAATTATTTTTGTCTCGTTAACAGGGGTGTGTAGACTTGTTATATCCACTGTACGTGGTGTATCCAGGCAAATTGTACATTTAGTGCTATGTATTTTGGATGAGATTTTGTGGTACTACTACTTTTTTTACAGCAATAAACTCCCCAGAATCTCATAAATGGAGAAGTCTAGGGTCCATAAAATCGCACTACTTCACACCAGAGTAGTACAGGACCCTTTCCCAAAATCACATCAGTCGTGCTGCATTGATGTGAACAACCACCATTGTAAACAATCCTTTCCATTGTCATGCGATTTCTGCGTGACTCAAGTGAAAAATCACAGTAGTGTGATTCAGGCCTAACTGCTTCTGCAACTGTGCATTGGAGTGTGGCAAAATTACACTGATTAGGCACGAATACTTGAATACATTTGTTATTGCCTGTGGCACATATTGAATAGGCCTGGTTATACAATTCATTTTATTCTGAGTATGTTAAACCCTGTTCTTTAGTAGATTTAGCATGCATGGAAAATCAAACCAGTTCAGTGCAGAATTTAAAGATCTGTACCTGGTGCTTGTATATCTCCCTGTTCTCTGCTCTTTAAATGCTAAAATGACATTAAATCTGTTATCCAGATAGAGGTTTGTACATGTTTCAGAGCTATATGATGGAGAAATGTACTGTTTAATAATCCATGATTTTAAAAGGCCAGTAATATGCAAACCGTAGGATATGTAGGTAAATGTCAACCTTCATTCTGTTTTTCACCTGAATGGGTGGTCTGGAAAACCTCCTCTCCAGCTTTTTTTTGTGGAAACAAGTACAAGGATTTTCTCCTGCTGTGCATAATTCAAAATGTATACACACCTTGTACCCCCCATGGACTGGACCTATTTACAGGAAAGTTATAGTTGTATGCCTGTTCTGCATAACTGCTGTCTCCTGGCAGAAATCCCAACAGCCTAGATAGATATTTTGGGAAGCTGCCTGTCATCCTGCACGTAGCAGCCCAAACCGTGCACTGAAATGAGCTCATTAAACCAGCGGGTACTGTGAGTGTCCCCCATTTTAATACTAATAAAAGAAAAAAAAATGGGTTATCGCCACTTGTCTGAAAAGATATTGGCTCAGTTAAAAATGGCAAAGTCACACATTTTAGCAAAGAATGCAAATTGCTAAATGTTTAGCCAGTGGGTTTTTTATAATGTACTTCAATTTGGCTGTAGGGATCAGCTGTTGCTCAGTTGTGACTGACATGAGTGATGATCTGCGGTAGTTTCCTAAAACCTCCCAATAATTCTACCTATATTATGCTTGAACTAATAGTGTGCTGGGTATTTAACCTATTGTTGACTGTTGGAAATTGGGTGATTTGTTGGGAGTAGCCTAAAAAATTGCATGAACTCATTCTAAAATGGTACAGGTTATTAAAGGCTAAATTACAGCTATGGGCGCTTAGATACTGAATTGGGTCTGGTCTGTGGGTTAGTAACAGAAAGCCTGTTTGCAGAAAATTGTCTCATTTTGTAATGGTGACTATTAAGCCCTTCTGTAAGGGCAGATTTTCCTTTTAATGTAAGACTAAAGTTAGCAAGGCTTGGGCCATACAATTCAAGACAATTGCACTGCAGGGATATTTTTTTTATTTTTTGTTGTATTTGACTACAAAGGTATCCAAATGCTAAAAGACTTGGACTGGGATTAATCGAAATTGATGAGGGTAATGGTGCATTCAGGTCTATAGACTGTGTGCATATCACTATCACTAGATCCTTTCAGTATCTGTCAGGTTTCCTGTCGCTTCAAGTAGTAGTGTTTTGGGCCGTAGCCCAAACTATTTCCATGCTGAATGTTAATTGGCCGAGTGCTGTATCCTACTGTATTGCTACCTACAGTATGTGGCGCTGTGTTCTTCAGCAGTGTAGGAGGCTTCCCTTCTACTGCTGGATCAAAATAGCGGTGGACTGCTATACAAGGTTTCCTGTAATGACTTAGTCCTAGGAGGAAACCTTGTATTTTTGTCAATAACTATAAAGCTTTCTCTGGATGAGAGGCCTAAGCCAATCAGAGGAAGAATTAAATTCATTGTAAATAAAAATCTGAAACCATGTTTGGCAGCAGACAGGCCTGTACTGCTGCAGAACACAGCGCTGTGTATAGCTGAAGCTGGCACAATATGATCCAATGTGCACAGCTGCTGAATCGCTTGGTATATAAAGTAACGAGAACCCTGGAATTCAGCATTAAGTGGTAGTTTTATGGAGTCCTGTTTTTGTGTGACTTATTGCATGTGTGATACATACTTGATGAAGTATGATATTTAAAGGAGGGAGATGTTTATCTGTCGGAGAAGGAGATATACAGGGAGATTTCTAAAGTTCTTGGTATTGAATTGCTAAGTTTAACCTAGCAAGGGTTAAAATCCTTGCAAAGCGGTTCCTAAACTGTTTCAAGTGCATACAGAGGCAAGATTTGCACTTCACAATTTTTACTTTAATTTGAAAGCATGAGAATTCAAGTGATTTCCTGTTCTACAGCCCATAGTGAACGGGAGCGAAGACCGTTATTACATAAAGTCTACTGGAAATAAGACAGAGCTACGTATTCACCAGCTGGAAATAGAAAAGGATCAAGGTGAATATATTTGCAATGGATCGAATGAACATGGTAACGAAGGGGCCATCATCTCTCTGCATGTGCGTAGCCGTCTTGCCGCACTCTGGCCATTCCTTGGCATCGTAGCTGAAGTTCTGATCCTAGTAACAGTCATCTTCATCTATGAAAAGAGGAGAAAGCCAGATGATGTGCCTGAAGGTAACACTACATTTGTCACCTTATTATAAATTCTATGTAAAAGCTTGATAAAAACATTTTATATAATTGCATAAAAATATTTTTGTTCTCTGGATGATGTCTGTTCGGGGCATGTAAGGTGCTTCTGGAGGTCTAAATATCTTTGCTAATTTTTTGTTTAATCCTGACGTTTTGTGGTCCAATTGCTACATAAAATTCCTACTTTTGTTCTGATCCTACTACATTCTGTTCCCTCTGTGTATCACTGTAGTGAACTCATTGTTTCTCTTTCTGAGCTTCTGGACATGTGAATTATTTTGGTAAGATGGAGCTTGAGCTCTTTTCCTGCTTTTGCTTGGTTAGAACATCTGCTCTGCTCTATTGAACATGTTAGCAAGGTGCCTACTATGCTGGTTTTTTTTTTTTTTTTTTTTCCAAGTTTTTATTTAATCCGGTTTTTCTTTTTCTTCCCTTCTTCATAGATGAAGATGGTGGATCTGCTCCTTTGTAAGTATCAAGATTGTTGTTCTGTTTGAGTTAACGTATTACTATAAACCCTGACCTTGTGAAACCATTTTTTCCAACTCTGTGGTTGCAAACCTTAGACATGAAATCTGAACAAAGCATATCCCTCTTTAGTGTATTTTGTCTCAATTAAGAGTCTACTGCCTTGTTCCTCTTTCAGCATGAATCATTTGTCAAGTGTTTCTGACAAATGTTTCTGACCGCAAATTTGACCGCCTCAAATCTATCCTTGTGAGCTGGGTGGAGGGGTTGTCTCTCTTCCCTCCAATCAGCCCTCCGAGTTCTACTCTCTATGCTCTGCAGAGTGTAATTTCAGCTCTCTGCCCCCTTTCTTTTATTTATTTTAACTCTGACACAAGCTGCGTGAGTCCAGTGCTTTGAACTGATGTAGGTAAGGGAAAACTGCAGATAAACAGGTACAATTTATTGGGGGGAGGGTGTTTCATCTGTGTATCACCTTAGGCCAGTCACTTCGCTGGGAATATGTAAGGGTTTGCAATCACTTTAAATCCACAGTGCGCCCTCACTGCAAGCGTTAATGACCTGTTTTGGGTAAGGATGCACTTTCCCATGTTGCAGCAGTGGAATGCCCTTCTGTGTCACCATGTACAATGCTGGGTTATTGACTTTGCATTGGTCTTGATGCTGTCAGGACCTTGGTCTGTATAGGGGAGAAGATGCTGCAGGGACCGGTCTAACTGGGCAGAGGACTGAGTAAATGGTTTCTATATTCTCTAGACTTAAATGAGCAGTTTTAACTCTTGCAGTGCAGGCAGAGCCCCATATATTAAACTCCCATGTATCCTAACAAGAAACCTTTACCATTTTTTTTTCAAGTGTCATAGAACTAGAACTCCTCTACTACACCTGCATGCTATTTTAAAGGCTTTGTACACTCAGATGTTTTTCACTGTTTAACTAGGTATTAGTGTAGTTATATTCCCTTTTTTTTGTTATTTGCCTTACCTTGTAATGGTGTAGTTATAATGTTGTGGCTGCAGGTGTAGTGTCATGGCTAAGATTCCCCTATATACATATATTACTGTGGCTAGCCTGTCCCTAGTCACCAGAGGGACAGACAACTTGTTCCACACAGCATCCAATGTTTCACAGTGATGGGAATGCTAATGTAATGAAAACACATCTCTTCTAGTATAGTAATTGGATCCGCCACAAACATGAAGAGCAATTTTAGAGATCTCACTATTTTTAGCTCTCCATGTGCTACAGACTGAGATCTAAGCATTTTGGGATAAGTAGTTCACAAAGTCCAATTCTCAAGGTTGCAGAGGTCATGCATTAACCTGTGCAATGCCATGTAGCATGCCTCATGTTTAACCAAACTTCTGACACCATGTAAAGACTTATTCTACTATAGGCTATGTACAAAGCAGCAAATGTCACTATGCAAGTACATGATCAATTCACATCTTATGTAGGTGAAAATCGCAAGGTGCAGATAGGGAGGTTTATAATGGAAACTATGGTGATGGCTTCAGGGGGTTTTATACACCCAGCAGGCATCGGGAGTGTCTATAAATCTGACAAGTCGGAATGCTTCCATACAGAATGCAGCTGTGATTCCAGTAGCAAATGTTGCAGCTGGCAATGGACTTTCCTGTAAAAGTGATCTGAGCAGCTCTACAGCAAATTGATCACTTACACAGGACATAATTATTCCGTTAACTCTAAAACTGATGACCAGTAGGGGCTTTTAAAAGTGTTGCCTATAGAAAATATAGGATACAAAGTAGGTTTGATGTATTGGGTATCCATTTACTCAGCCAACATCATCCCCTCTTTTAAAAAAAGAAAAAATGAGGTTTTGTTTGTGTGACCTAAAACTAACTTTAGTGTAATTTTTAGGGATGCACTGAAATTTCAGCCACCAAAACATATAAGCATTCTGCTGATAGGAAAAATTTAGCCGATACAGGAGACTGTGTGTGCTGTAGATGTGGAAGGTGGGAAAGGCAGGAGAGGAGCAGTGTGTGTAGTGACTGACTGTCACTAGTCAGTGAGGGTTTTTTTTTTTTTGTTTTTTTTTTCTCACTATAGCTCAGAGTCGGGCTGTCACTCGCCCCCCCCCCCCCCCTCCCCCAGCTAAAGGAAACCGTTTCCTTTTTTAGTTTCTTTTCGGAGATGAAAGAAACAGTTTCCTTTTCGTTCCAGGGAAAGTGACTGCTAATTCTGTGAGCTATAGTGAAGAAGAAAAAAATCGGCACCAACATATAGTGACATTTTTTAAATGTATGCAAATGGCTCTGGCAAGGAAAGGGTTAAGGTTGAGTGTTTGTATTGCTATGTAATCTATCACATTTGACTTCCCAGTGCTAACTCCCTAATAATGTAGCCACTCAGAACTGTAAAAAGGTCAGATAAAGCATATTTCCAAAAACCACTTCAATACTTAAAATATCTGTCCTTACATTTATGTTTTTCAAAGTGTTTTTTGTGCATTTATAATGTAATCAAGTTGCTGAGTTTTCATTTACCCTCTACAGCACATGATTCAGTCATAATGAGCATAATGGTAAAAAAAGCAGCATGGTGTTTTTTAAAAAAAAAAAAAAACAAACTGAGTTCTAGCCCTTCAAGAGATGTGGACATTTTTTTTTTTTTTTTTTTGTGACTACCTTATTTTTAGAATGTCTCTAATCTTGTGCCACTGTTGCCCATATACGATGGTTTCTTTATTACTTCTTGCCATGAAAAAGACTTAAAATGTTCCAGGTGCAGTACGACTAGCTTGTTATGAAGTAACAACGCTTTTGTTTTAAAGCTTGTCATAATACAATAAAGCTGGGGATAGTGCAGAAAAATAGAATTTTATATTCAATATGTATAAAAACAGATACTCATTTTTTGAAATTTTTGGTCTTCTATGATAACTTGCCTGTAGTTGCTAAGTAATTTCCAACCCTTCATTATAAATATTGTTTATAAATTTTGTGTCTTTTTTATATAGGAAAAGCAATGCTGGTGCAAATCATGACACTGTGCGACAGAGGAACTCCAGCTGAGTTGCAGGTAAAGGCTAACTTGCCCATTTCAATATCTGTATAACTGTTGTTCCTGCCCACAGGTTGGAGAAATGACTATTCAAACATGTCAGAATGAAGTTTAATTGAGAAAATAAATGGCTTTTTTTATCTTCTGCTTAACTATTACCTTTTACGTTGACCTCAAGAATTCTAAGCCTGGGATGTTTGAAAGCAGGACCAGTTTTCAGTTATGCACGGTCAGTACTTGGCAGGCTTTTGAGTCCTCCTAAATTGCTGTATTAAAGGAGAAGTTCACATTTTTAGACAAATAAATGCACATATTTTTTTGCAGTTAAAAAAATGCATTTATTTTTGTCTACAGGAGTCTGGAAAGCATTGCACCAGTGATCAGCAGATCACTGATGCCATGCAGACCTGTCGGAATATCTGCTTACTCTTACATCCCAATCGGGCAAGCAGATATTCTGACAGGAAGCTTCAATGAACTACCATGGCACTCCACAGCACCGCAGTAGTTCATTGAAAACTACAAGCTGACAGCCACTAAGGCTGTCGGGACTTGCGGTTCATTCTTTCATTCACGGAAGTCTGTGAATGACTGATGTGGGCAGAACGTGCACAGGGAGGCGGATGTCGGCTGCAGCTATGGGAACATGTTACATGTTCCACCCTAAAAACGGGTGTAATATGTTCCAAAAGGGGGAACATATCCTTTAAGCTGGCAAGACATGACAAAATTTGATCTGTGTGTATGTTGCCATCCCCATTCGACGGAAGTCTATCTTTGTTTGCCTTCTGACAAAGTACATGCTGGAAAATTTTCTTCCCAACCAGCGGCTGAAGAGTCATTTTCTGACCTATATGGATAAAATTGCGAGCGCCAAAGAAGAAAAAAAGTAAAGCAACTGTGCACAAAAAAGGTAACCAATAGAACACCTTAAACAGACAATAATAAACAAATAAGTGCAGCACTGATATATATTAAACCAAATAAAATCAAATAAAATCTCAAAAAGTTCCAATCGGATTAGTGATAAGTTGCCTCTTGTGCTAGGCTGACGCTGGACCCGGTATCAGTGCAAATTGATAAGGTAATGCGCACTCACCGGACGCGCATAATGTTTAACAATCCAGATGTCATCAGATAGAGGACTGGTTTAGGAGATGCTCTTCCTTCTTATGGGATGGTGGGTCATCATATTGAATGATAAGCAGCTGATTAAGACACTCTCCGTCCACTAGATGTCCCTCTCTCCAATAGGTTTCTCTCAGGGTGTGTGAGTATCCCCTAGGAAGTACAGGTCCGTCCTTGGTTTAGTGGGTCTGCAGGCTAAAAAGCTCTGAATGGGCATCAGCCTTTTTGAGAAGCTATTTCTCCACAAGGCAAGACCCTGCTGAGGAAACGTGCTATGTGCTGAACTGAGGATTTGTGAGTTGTCAGAAATAGCTTCCGAAAAAGGCTGATGCAGAAAGAAAAAGGCATACAGAGCTTTTTAGCCTGCAGACCCACTACTATACCA